GACCGATCATTACTCTAGCGTAAAGCTAGATTCTTCAGACTGCACAAATAACAATAGTGGGTTCTTAACAAAGATTTTTCCCCATTAATGTGTTTTATACTTTACTTAGATATGACAGCTTTGTCTTGGACACAATTGTCTAATGATGTTGTGATTTGTAATACACAATAAAACATAGTTGAATCTGGGGGCGGGGACCTCCACTCAACACAACATGTAATTTTTTATTATTCTTTACTCATTGCTATGCTTCTTTACTACTCTAGTAAAGTTTACTGCTAAACTACTATCTTGTGTATATAGTACACAATATGCTCTTCCAAATTGTGTTTTGTGTATGTATATGTGTATATGTATGTGGGTAGTCCTCGATGATGTCCACATTGAGCCCAAAATTTCTGTTGTTAAGTGAGACATTCATTAAGTGAATTTCCCCCCATTTTACGACCTTTCTTGTCTCAGTTGTTAAGTGAATCTGGCTTCCAGTTGACTTTGCTTANGCGACAGAGAATGAGGTGGCTGGATGGAGTCACTGAAACAGCAGGCGTAAGCTTAAATGGGCTCCAGAGCATGGTAGAGGAAAGAAGGCCTGGAGGAATGTTGTCCATGGAGTTGCAATGGGTCGGACATGACTTTGCAACTAACAACAAATATTGAGTTTGATAGATTGACCCATCCCTACCCAGGATTGTTGATCCTAGCAAAGGAATAAAAAACACTTAAGACTAGGATTGGGGCTGTTACATTGAAATGTTGAAATTTCCATCGTGTCCTATTTATCCATACTATACTGTATTATAATTAGATTTTGATTATACTTTTGGCAAAATCAAAATCCTACTCTTAACAGGAAATTCCGCATGTAGCATGGGTATATTAAGGCTAAAAACCTAGCCATGAGTTTAGCTATAAAGCTATTTACATTAAAAAGATTGTGTAAATGTCTTGATTGACCAAAGCCATGTTTGCAATATCTACGAACCATTCTTCATAGCATATTAATAGAATAATAAAAACCGTGATAATAGAATATTGAATGAAATGTAAGAGGAATAAATAATAAAGAGTATAAATTCATTAACGAAATGAAATAAAAAATAACTTGTGTGTCTGAAACTAAGAAAAAGGCAAAGGATACTGTAACCTGATATTGTGTAGTGGAATTGAGAAATACATGCAGAGAAGTAAAGGTGTAGATTAAATCATGAATGGAGACAAATAATACATAACAGAAAATTTGAAACTGTGTTGTTCAATATTGTTTCATATGCATATGAAAGTTAAGAATACATAGCTCATTATAATTGTATGTGCCCTGTTGATTAATGATAATATGCTAAAGATGAGCTTGGTGAAATTGTCCAACATTCTGAATGAATATTATTTGAAGGAAAATGATTCTGCTAAATGATAGGAACAGATTGATGGGAACAAGAAGAGAGTGAGCTGAAAAAGTGATCGGGCCTTGAGAAAACCCAAGAGTAAATGAGCATGCTGTTCAGTGAGTATCTTCTTTGTAAAATGTCAGTTTGTTTCATTTATATCATTTACATTTATATGTGAGAAAATGAAAGTAAATATAGAAACATTTAATTTTATGGTTTTTATGAAAAATTGAGAATTACTAAAAGATACATGAATGATAAATCTTTGACTGTGGAACTGGTCATATTTTGATAGTGTCAAGAGAGGATATTTGGAAGTGAACATGAAATAAAAGGCAAGACAAAAGAAAGCAGAATGAAAGTAGAACAGGAGTCAAAGTATGCAAAGATATTTGAAAATAGCGAAATTTCTTAATAGTATAATTAAAAAGCATACAGAAAGAAGATTTCTGGTGTGAGTGAATGGTGAGATTACAGTAATGAGAAGTATGAAAAAATATTTCTAGGTTGAGTGAATGGTGAGATGAAAAGGGCTATGGATGAGCAATAAAAGAGAATGATTACTGGAATTAAATTAAGTAAAAGTTATAGTATACAGATAAATATTTGCAAAGAAACACTTAAAAATAAAAGAAAGAAGAAAAAGAATGGTTTTGGTTTAAATTTTGGAAATGGATAAAGAAGACTAATGAACGAAATTGAAAGAAAACACAATGGAATAGATTACGATTAAACTGGAGACAAAAGGTTGGGAAGGAGTATTTCAGAGATTTATAAGGAAGTGGTAATAATATCTTGAATATCAGAATTGAAAGAAATGCTATCAATGTTAGTGTCCAAGAAAAAAATGGATGAAAAGAAAGACATCTATGTTTGAATATGCATCTGACAATTGTAAGAATGCTTTCATTGTCCTGTTTACTGAAGTATAGCTGGCAAGAATGGATTAAAAGTCTAGTGAGGAATACATTTTAAATTTCGTTAATTTAAGTGTCTGGTAAAAATTGGTCTGGTTCAAATATTTCTAATTAAAAAGGAATAGCAATAGCAATAGCAGTTAGACTTATATACCGCTTCATAGGGCTTTCAGCCCTCTCTAAGCGGTTTA